CAATTTTGTGCTTTTTTCTACAACACCTAAATCCTAAATCCCACAACGCCAAAACTTTGGCTCGCTTTATGAGCGGAAAAACATGTAAAGAAATGTGCTCCTATGTTATGACTGCTGATGAAATTGAAAGAGAGATTGAGCGCAAGAATTCCGAAAAGATGAACACTGACGAGAAAAAAGCTGAGAAAGAGGCTTAAAAGGAAGAGTACAATGAGGAAATGTCTCAGGAGAAAGATCCAAGGTCTATGAGCCTGTAGATTTAAGGGTTGTGCTGTGGTGGCATAAAGTACTGCTGCTGTTGATGGGCCATATCACGATACTGCGAGTTTACATTTTGTGGACGAGTTGTTGAAGGATATGGAACACCAGGTAGGCCGGACCCAAAGTTCATTGACATATTGTCGCGATAGCTTCGTGGATCAAATGAAGCCTGTCGCGGGTCACAGCTCGGATCAAGTCGTGGATCGTTGTATGGATTTTGAGAGCCAAGAGGCGGAAGACTTTGACGAAAAGGAGCTTGGAACTGATTGTTTTGCGAATTATAACGTGGATCTTGGCGAGGATCTAAACGAGGGTCATTACGCGGATCTAATCGAGAGTCATAACGCGATTCTTGACGAGGATCGACATAGCGAGGATCAACTCGTGGAGCGACTTGGATTGCGGATTGCGGAGTCATTTGCTGAATCATTTGGGGATTACCTCGAGGAGCAAAAGTCAGATCAACCCGTGGATTATAATCGATGTTTGAAGGCACAACAGAAGGAAGATAAGGGGGAGGCACTTTTTTGCGATGCACAGATTGATTCTGTGGCTGAGTCGATCGCTTCTTCGAACCTTGATTAAAAATGACAAAGTTATAACAAAACAAAGCTGTATAAGAATGAAGCAAATAACTTACCATATTGATCAGAAGAAGTTGACGGTGGCTTGTACTGGATTGTTTCATTGAGCTTTACACCGCTCACAAACTTTGCCACATTGTTCAGCAGATTGTCAGACGAAGTCTCAAAGGACTGATCTATTTGCCGGCACAGCGTCTTCTTTATCTCCTCCCGTTGTCGATTCATTTCATTGCGAAACTCCTCCAATCTTAAAGATGTGTTTTTCTTACTTTCATCCATGGTCTTTTAGAAGGACAGTTGA